TCAGCTTGGTCTGGGGATGGAATATGAATTCTCCTCCCTTCTAAAAGAGCAAGAGTGTGCTGTACAGCTCTTGTGTTACCTGATGGTATCACCAAGAACATTATCACTTCAGTTCAATACTTTGGGCATGGTATTTAGTGAAGACAAATTTGGCCAAGTCACAAAGTCAGAGAGATCTAGAGCTCTCATCTCTCTCTTGTGAGCAGTTCTCATCACCCTTCTCCATCAACTTCAGACTCCTGCTGTTGTGTCTACTGAATTGCCAGTTTCCCAGTAGTGGGTGTCTACTGCCTACAGTACATTTGAAAAGTAAGGATGAACTCTACACAGTACAGGTAGTATCTATCAAACTGTTGTTCATGACTCTTTAAGGGTCTGTGGACAAATTTTAAGAAGTCCATAGGGGTCACTAAGAAAAACTATCTATTTGTCAGTAATCTGGTATTTACTGTACTGATATTCTCATATCGACCAATAATATTTAGTAGATGTGCAAATCAAAAAAGGGTGGAAGACAGTCATCTAGCTCCATCAGAGCTTGGAAAAGGTAAGAGCTAGGTCCTGTCAAAGGGTCAAAGCTATATATAACCCCATTCAATATCAATTACTATTGAAATCAATCTGATTTTAGTCTAGATATAGGCTTTCCATTCCTGCCAATTTCTGAATATTAGCAAGTCCAAAGAATGACCTCAAGTAAATATCCCAATAAAAGTAAGACCAGAAAAAATTGTATATGACACTCCCCCATGTTTTAACTCTTTCTAGTTCTCAGAGTCTACTGAACTGGAAATTTTTGTTAATTTATAATCTGCAATCAATCTCTTTTACTAGTGTTTATCAATTCTCTTCTTATTTCCATGTAAATATCTTGCTTCCTCACCATTCTTTCTCAGAGAGCTCCACAGTTCTGTTCCTGTCTGCATGAGTACCATCTCCTTCTTTGTATTTTAAACCTGAATCCTAATGACCTCATTTGATTACTCCAAGTCTAGTTACCCCAGAAGAAGCAGGTAACTCTTAAACCCTACTCAAGCTCTCCCTGCCATTCATAATTAGACCTCTCTCTTGCTTTTCCCACCATCCACGGTGCCTTTTCCAGGTGGGAGAGTGCAGCCCACTCAGTCACTCCTCAGGGCTGTTGCTTACATTGATGATCCTCCTTACCTTCTCCAAACATTGTCTAGTTAGGGTCTGAAAATGGGGTACCAGGACTACAGGTGGTACTCAAGCTCTTGGCAGACTTACATTTTATTTGCTATTTAGATTGCTGCTGAGCGCTGAGATGCAAAGAATTTTATCTGCCTTTTCATTGTGCTATCACTCAGCCTTGTAAGTCCTTCTGCAACTCTTTACAGTAAGTCCTTTTCCTTACTGCTCTGAAGAGCTTTGTATCATCAGCAAAGTTGATCACCTTATTGCTCAGCTCCTCTGCCAGGTCATTTATGAAAGTGTGGAACCACGTTTCAGGACAGGCCCCATCCAACAGTGACTTCTCTCCATTCATCAGCTGGCCAGACACTCTGCCCACTGTTTCCCATTTGTAAGCATGCCAGGATATTTCCTTTTATCCTGTGGCTGTGCAGTTCCCTCTAAAGCCTTTTGGAAATCTAACCTAACCAAGTACACACACCATTATCATTGGTTGCCCCTTCAAAGAAATTATCTATCTAAGGAAAAATCTTTCGTAGCAGAAACCATGTTGAATTTTTCCCAAGGAAACTTTTTGCTTTTATCAGGCATTCACTGATTCAATTCTTTGTTATATTGTCTATTAATTTGCCTAGCACAAATGTCAAATTTGCTAGACCACAGTTCCTTAGATACCCTTTTGGCAACCGTTTTTAAAGAATGGCACCATGCTTGCAACTCTGCAGACTTCAGGAACCAATGGAAGTTTAAGTGAATTATATAGTGCCATAAGTAATTCCACTGTTTCTTTTGAAACTCATGAGTGAATATCATTCAATTCTGGTGATTTGTTAGCATTCAGTCTGTATTTCTGCAACAAGATATCTGCCAGTTATTTAAGAGGAGAGATGTTAGTCTGTCTTTGATTTCATTTTCTTCTAATTCAATGACTCTGTAAATTGTATCCTCTGTTGGGATCACTAATTCACTTCTAAGAAAATGATTGTAATGGGCCAATTATGATAGCACATATAAATGCTGTACTCAAAGTTAATATGTCTATACTCCTCACTGCTACTCCTTCTTCCTGCTGTTTCTTTTATACCTCTATTACCCATGTGTTATTCTGAAGTGGCATTTTTATTCTGTAATTATTTACAGGAGCAGAGATCTGGGCTAAGCTTACAGAATGACTATAAATGCTTTTACCTTCATCATCCACTTAGACTTCTGATGAGTGACCACCTAGATGCAGCCTGAGAAAGACAAGATGATCAATCCTACCTTGGCAGTACTTCAGGTCTTTGTTTTCTGCTGGATAAAATGCACATTTTCATAGGAAAAAAAATTTTTTTCTTTTTTTCTTCTTTTTTAGAAGCAATTTGAGCTTTACTTAATTAAAAAAAAGGATAGAGGTGGTGATGATGGGGATGTAAGGGGATTTGCTTCACTGGACATGGCTAGATCTGAACTATAACCTGAACCTGGTTATAATTGATTTTTTTTTGGCTGAACAGATGATTTATCTGATAGTATTGCCTATAACATCGCCAGACACAATGCATCTACCTGTAAAATGCTTTGGCAGTTATGAACAATCTAGTTTCTACATGTTGCTGCAGGTTTTGACCACTGCTGATGCAAGGCTTGCAGTGATAGTGTCCATAATGATGGGAACCAAGAGACATTTTGGTTCCTCAATGGCATACGTGTCATTCACTTTAATGCAGAGGGTTTGAGAACAGCAGCTTTCCTTTTTCCTCCTAAAAAGGAGTCAAGAATTATCTCAACTGAAAGAAGAAGGGAAAGATATGAAGTAGGTAAGTGGAGTCAGGCTGAGACTGTGGTCTGAAATAAGGTAGCTGAGAGAGCAATGGCTTTGTAAGACAAACAAAAGATGAGTGTGAAGTCAAATTTGAAAGTGAGATTGTCCAGGGCTCAAGGAATTACAAAGACAGCCAAGGACCTTATATAATGGTGTATGGGGTTGTGATTAGGGACAGTCATGGATGAGTGACAGGGAGCAGACAAACACATATACTCAGTAGTAATAGTGTTGTCACAATGTCAAGCTAAAACAAATGCCGCGTGTGAACTGTTGCCCTTGCTTAATTTAGAAAGATACAGACCACTGCACCTAGTGAGGGAAACAGAATATGGCATTTTCCTTGACTATGATTTTATCACCCTCTTTCAGTGTGATTGTAAAGGAGAAGAATAGCTCCCCAGTGGATAAATTCCACATGCATGGACTTACTTTTGTGGCTGCCAAGTCAAAGAGCAAGCAAAAGATCTGGGAATTTATTTGGGCATTATCATTGAACATTCCCAGATGTGGTGAGTTTGATAGAGCAAACTAGGTCTCCTGGGAGATGGCAACAGATTGATTTTGACTAGGTTTTCAACAAGATCCAGAATCTGGGAGATGCAGAAGCATCTCAGAGGTACCCTCAAAAACCTTTCCTGAGGTACCTTTCTTGAGCAAGGGCTGAAATGAAGCCACGCATTGTGTAGAAAAGGACAGTTCTTTAAAAAGCATCCATCCTTTGGTATCTGTAGGGCCATGAGACAAGAAGGGGAGGGACAGAGTTAGTAGCAGCCAGAGTGCAGTGATCGCCTCTGAGGAAGAAAAGGTGCTCTTCTGCAAGTGGCTGTAAACAATCCCAGGTGAGCTTCACAGTTGTATTAATTCCACATCAAATATTTCATAGGAACATAATAAGGTCCAAGAGTGCAAGCAGTCTTTTTGATATAAAAACCACACCACACTTTACAAAATATTGATTTTATTTATATATCTAGCCTATTTAACAGTGGATCACACCGGTAGGAACAATCACAAATATCTAGTTACATGTTTTCATCACGTTCTGGACTGTGCAACATCGGGTTTGAGGCAAGCACATATTATGTCATCACCAATACAGAAAATGATTGCTGTTCAAAGCTCAGTTGAGTCCTGTCTCCTTGGTCAACTTCCAAGTCCAATAACCTCTTCTAATACTGTGTGTGGGATTGTCTACGAAGAACTTGTATTCTCAAGGTCTGAATCCAACAAACAGCCTACAGCACATGCTCCATCTGTTTACCTCATATACTTTATTTGAACGGCTTCAGGTTTTCAGTACAACAAACAAACAAAACCCCCTACCACCCACAATTTCTCAGAAATGTTGGACCACACTTGTATAAATCAGACTAGCTTCAATAACAGAGCTGCAACTTTTTATCTCACCACATGATCTGGCCTGCAAATCCCAACTGTCTTCTTTGAGATAATGCATCGGAGCAAGGTTTCACAGCAAAAGTAAAGCTATCCTGTAACTAACATCCCTGCTGTCTGTGCTGGCACACAGTCCAGACTAAAGTCTCTGACCTGCTTGCCGTGTATCTGAAGGGTATCCACAGACTTCTGCAGTATATCCATACTTTATTAAACGCAGCCTACACTTAGGTTGACTCTGAAGAGTCCCAAACAGTATCAGTGTGGAGTGAATGTTGCCTCCAAAGAGCTGTGTGCTCACATCCACACTCAGGACTACTGAGGAGTTTGAATCTGGCACCTCAGGGTTTCTTTAAGCCTGTTTTGAGTCACTGGTAGTCAGGAAGTCACAGCTCATCAGAGGATCAGACCCTCAGCCAGCAGCCACGAGGAGATATTACAGCCTAAACTGTTCCAGGTGCCAAAAGCTGCCAAATTAGGTTGAGCTGCCTTCCATCCTTTCTCCCTCACACACTGACAGTGAGGACTGGCAAACATGCTAAAAGTCATTTATGTGTATTGATAAAGAGTCCTAGGGAAGTTGGATGTCCAGCATTCCTCAGAGTACCTTCCGAAAATCCCAGTTGTCATGCTCAGGGTATCTTCCACTCCACACTTCCTCTCAGCCTCTCCCTTCCCAGAATCCATTCTTCCTAGCAATCCTCCCACTCTCCTATGCAGAGCTGGCAACACACACAGGGTGGATCCATCTTTGGTTATAGGCATTTGGCTGCATAACTGACCTTTCCTGCTGCTAAAGGGAGGGTATCCCAGGCCACAGTATCCCACTCTGCCCTTCACTTTTCTGTGAAGGGTTTTCTATCACTTTCAGCACTACACGGCATGGACTTGTGGAGCTTGAAAAGCAACAGTTCTTTATCACAATGGTGCAACAGGAGAAGACTTCGGAGCATTTTCTTAGAAATCTGCAAACAATTATATCGCGTTTTTAGAACTGTCTGGCTATTGTGCCTCCTAAATCACATGAAAGACTACAAACAGTGCTACTTCAGTGAAACTCTACAGCCACTGAAACTAAATCACTGCCTCCTTTGGAGGAGCAATGGACTCACATGTTCACCACAAGAACTGACTGTACATACGCTAAAGCAAGACACTTCCTAGGTAAATGAGAAATACCTCTGGTTTGGGCCCATCCCTTAGATATCAGATATTAGGCACAAACATGATGATTACTACTTGTAGAGCTATGTGAAACATCTACCATTTATTTGAGTTATGAAAACACAGTTTTAAATAGCACAGTAATCCAAGGCCAAAAGACAGGCAGACAAATGGGCAGACTTTGGCCACTTGTTAGATCCTCTAGTGAAAGCTATTTGCTCTTATAAGGGCTGACCTTATGCATTCGCCAGGACTAAATGCTGCACTTGAAAAAACATTTAAAGTAAGTTTCAACAATGGAGTCTTTTGGAGGTGCCCAGTGTCAATTTCCAGCTTCCCACAGCACTCAGTGCTTGACTGAGGCTTTTGATGAACAGCTCATAAATTGCTGTTATTTAGCCACTGGCAATTGAATCCAGCTTTATTTAGTTTTCCCAGAAATCAGACAAATTTGAATCTTATATGGGATTCTCCCTGCCTCCTCCCTCCATCCCCATTCACATCTAGTTTCAGTTTCCTGGAACTAAGAGTGTTAACCCCTTTAACAAAGGCCAGCAACAAGAAAACCATAAATCAAGGAAACCACTTTCCTGTCCATAAATGTTGTATTCCCTGCACACAGAGAAACTTCTCCAACTCTGCAGTAAGAAGATGCAACAATGTGTTTTGCAGCATCCTGACAGCCTTGCAGCATCCAGAATCCAGCCTAGCAAGGGAAAAAAAAAAGTGTTACATGTTAAAAAAATGCCCAAGACAAATGTATTATTTTGCACGGATCACAGTTAAGAAACATCAACCTAAGTGTTAATTTCTTAATGACTGAAGAGACCAAATTTGATATATCTTATCAATATAACTACCGCTGTCTACAATGGAAAGTGACACAATTTTTTCCTTATCTTGACACCTAGTGGAATTTGATTTATGGGGGATTTTTCCTTCTGGCTGACAGGAATTATACACATCTCTTCTTGCAGGAGATGAAATATGCATATTAGAAGGTTACAAAGTTTGTTAAGATGCATTACAGTGCTGTACTGCTCCAAGAATAGAGACCCAAGGTCTGATCTTTACTGTAACAGACACTTTATTAATTCCTGAAGCCATTTTCTTTGTGTCTAATTTTAAATCCTTTTAAGGCAGATCTACATTAACAATTTGGCTGAGAAGTCTTTTCCCCCATGCGAGGATCAGGAAAGCCCATCAGAGCAAGAGTGGCTTTTTTTTTTTTAATAATTTTTTTTTAATCAGATCTAAAATAATTTATTGAGACAGCGAATGGAAACTATGTTGGGTCTGCAGGACTTTTCTTCATTTAGACACTTCTTCATTGTCACACTTCGATGCTGTCCATTCCAGTTGCATCCAGGTCCATCTGTGCTGGTGACACATGAAACCTAAAGGGCTATTCATAAGTTACTAAAAATATCTGCAGTCCTCCATGACAAAAGAGAGGGAAAGGGAAGACAAAAGTGACTGGAATAAATGTGGCACTTGAACCTTCCTATAAAAGTCTGTTGCAATCTGAAACATCATACAAGAGTTCCTCATAACTTAAGCAATACTTACTTTCCTTTTCCCTCTTTATGTCAACAGTGCAAACCCTCAATTCTCCTAGCCTAACATGCCCCTAAGAGTTACCTGTTGCATTTTTCTTTACATAGGATGGCACTTATGTGTTCCTACGGTTACCCTAAGTAGGCTTTGATTTGCAAGGTTTTTGTAGCAGAGGTGGTTTCTGTGATAAGCTGCTAGAAGCTTCCCCCATGTGTGACAGAGCCAGTTCCAGCCAGCTCGAAGATGGACCCACCACTGGGCAAGGCTGAGCCCATCAATGATGTTGGTAACACCTCTGGGATAATGTGTTTAAGAAGGCTTGAAAAAAAAACACAAACCCAAAACAAAACAAAAAATTGCACAACTGCAACTAGGAGAGAGCAGTGAGAACATGTGAGATGTTTTTGTTTCTTATTATCCTACTCAGATTTGATTGGCAGTAAATTAAACTCATTTTCCAATTTGAGTCTGTTTTGCCCATGATAGTAATTGGTGAGTGATCTCTCCCTGTCCTTATCTCAACTCAGGAGCCTTTAATTATATTTTTGTTCTCCCCTGTCCAGCTGAGGAGGGGAGTGATGGAGCAGCTTTGGTGGGCACCTGCTGTCCAGCCAGGGACAACTTACCATAGATACACGCTTAGGATGTGATATTAAATTAATCATTTTAGGATTCCTGAGTCCTAAACAAAATTCTGAGGTCCAGACTTAATTTAATTGTGTGAGTGCTTGAGAGGGCTCATCACGAGCTTAAAGAAGTTAAATATGTGCCTGCCTAAATGTCATGAATAGCTCAAGCCTTGCACTGCAAGGAGTTTACACTGTTTATAGTTTTACACAGTATTTTCTACCAAAACAGTTCCATTTCCCACTCACTGCAGAGTGTGAAAGCAGCCTAATGCAGTATGAAGACCATACTCTTTCTAGTCCTTCCGCTCCCGCAATTCCTGCTACTGCTTGACAATGACTCAAGTATCCAGGAGAAAAAAAAAGAGCAAGAACTGGCTATAAAAAGAGTGTACCAGTGAGAAAGGCCTAAGCCAGAAGGTTGGTTGCAACATTGCCAAACCCCACAGGAGGAGAACGAAATAAGCGGGAGAAACATCAGAGACTGGAGAAGCCTACAAAGTGAACAAGGTTTGTCAAGAGCTCTGTCTAGATTCAGAAAGGAGAAAATGCCAGTGGTACATAAAATATATAAATATGCATGCTTACATCTATATAAACACATTCACAGTCACACAGAAGCTACATATTTAAGCAGACTGTAGATACCTAGAGATGTGTAAAGTATGACAAAATTTGTAAAATGCATTCACTTTTCATAAAGTTTTCTAAGAATAAGACAGCTCTGCCAACAAAATGTACGGCCTGCTTGCTTTGAGTTCACCAAAGCTGTGAGAAATCCGATTTGCAGGCTAAATCTGTGCTGATCTTCAAAGCAATATTCCCTCACTGAAGTTTCTTTAATGTAAGCTTTTCCCTGCACATTTTTGTGCTGAAGAGGGGAGTTTCCAATCCAAGGATTACGAAGACTGAACAAGCTGGTACACATACAAAAGCTAGCTCATAGTTTTAAAAATTTCAGAGCAACAATGGTTACTAGAGATTGCTTGGAGTTTGATAAGTCAAAGACCCCATCAAACAAAGGCACAGACAGATGTCTGCAACAGCTGCATTAATTGAACCTATGACAAATCACAGTGGGGTTTGTTGGTCTGATTCTACTTTTAGTTTAATACTGATGTATTTGATGTGGATCTTCCCCAAAGTCTGTAAAGGTGTTCCCCTGAAAAAAAAAAAATAAAATAGAAGAAAAGAGTCTACATATTCTATATTTGATATCTAGGATCTCCTTTTAACCATAGTTTACATTAATAATCCAGCAAATGTTTAGATATTGTAAAATATATTTCCTTAATAACTCAAGTCTGCCATAAGCCGCCAACACCCTATTGCAGCGCAGGTCGTACATCCGAGTGTTATCTTGTCAAATGCCTACATGGCCCACAGGATGGCACTGTGCCACCCCGCAAACTCGCTACAGGCTTTTGGTGGCTTTTCCTGACAGCAGCAGTCAGTATAAGGCAGGCTTTTTCACACCACAGGTTTTTTCCTCTGAATTTTCAGGCTTTCCAGAATTCAGCATAATTCCACAGATTCTCCCATGCCGGCACACCGGCTGATCTTGTGTGTCTTTGCTCAGAAAGATCACCATCTGCTTTCTGTGGGCATTTTGCTTCAATAAACAACAGTAAGCTAACCCCTGAAAAGGTTTACCCTGGTAGCTACACAGCAACCTCCAGAACAACTGCTTCTTTTTTGCTGCCGATAAACTGTATTTGATAAGCCTGAAACTAATTAATAACAGTGTATCCTGGGCTGCATCAAAAGGAGTGTGACCAGCAGGTCGAAGGAGGTGATCCTGCCCCTCTACTCGGCTCTTGTGAGACCTCACTTGGAGTATTGTGTGCAGTTCTGGTGTCCTCAACATAAGAAGGACATGGAACTGCTGGAACAAGTCCAGAGAAGGGCCATGAGGATGATCAGGGGACTGGAGCACCTCCCGTATGAAGACAGGCTGAGGAAGTTGGGGCCGTTCAGCCTGGAGAAGAGAATGCTGCGTGGAGACCTCATAGCAGCCTTCCAGTATCTGAAGGGGGCCTATAGGGATGCTGGGGAGGGACTCTTCATTAGGGACTGTAGTGACAGGACAAGGGGTAACGGGTTCAAATGTAAACAGGGGAAGTTCAGGTTAGATATAAGGAGGAAGTTCTTTACTGTAAGGGTGGTGAAGCACTGGAATGGGTTGCCCATGAAAGTGGTGAATGCTCCATCCCTAGCGGTGTTCAAGGCCAAGTTGGACAGAGCCTTGAGTGACATGCTCTAGTGTGAGGTGTCCCTGCTCATGGCAGGCGGTTTGGAACTTGATGATCTTAAGGTTTCTTCTGACCCTAACTATTCTATGATTCTGTGATTCTATATTCAAAGTACTGTACAAAACAAAATCAGTTAACAATCTTGCTAATTATCACATAATTCTACTTAAGATCACTGTAAAAGCTTGGAATTTGCATGGCCTAGAGCTAGCTATCATGGACCGGAGGGTGCTCAAGCCTTTACACACACATGCATGGACACACTTGGCACATATGCTGCAGCTCAACTGATACAGCATCCACAGAGTTTCACAATCCTCTCCCATTTATAGGTCAAAGATGGAGAAAAACCACAGACATTAAAATTTGGACTGTGGATCAGATTTCAAAGCCTTCTCGTCAGTGTTTGAAGATCCTGTGACACAGGGTTTAGATTTTTCCTTAGACTCACAAAGCATCCCGTCAAGAAAAATATTCTGGGAGAACTGCAGAGTCACTTACTCTAAATTAAAATTCAACAAGATACGCTTGTCTTTATTACGAATTTTGAAAGGGGTCACCAAAGTCATTTATTTCAGCCTAAAGTATCTGAGCTGATGAAGTAACTTGAGTTTTACTCAAGTTGAGCCTAAACTTCTGCATCAGCTTTAACTTCATCTGCTTGCCCTTGTTAAAGCTTTATCTGTTTCATCTTCACTGCTGGTTTAAATGCTTCTTTTGCAGTATGGATATACCCAGGGAGGCAGCATACAAAATCACAACAAAATACTAGAGCTGGGTCTACAGCAGAGGCAAAGAGAAAAGTTGCCAAGGACAACAGGCTGACAGGGACAGCAAAACAGCCATGGTCCTGCCCTCTGCTCTGCTTATACCAGAGCCCTGGGAAGCAGGATTGCAGCTGCTGCTGCTAAGTGTGGAAAGGGGGTTGGGATAAGGAAACTGCTGCTGTGGCTGTGGCCATGGTAATAGACACCTCTGCTCTTTACCTCTTCCCTCCTCTCAAGGGTCCCCATGGCCCCTCTGTTTCAGATCTCCTTTCTCTCTCTCTCTGTTCCTCCCCAAAGTTTAACTCTGGCCCTACATATGCACCAATACTTGATTTTGCCTTCGCAGCTGAGACATCAGGCTGGCATAAAACATTAATAAACTGAAAGCAACCATATTAATCTATAGGAAAGTTGCCAGGCTTTGATGAAGTCATGGAGTTAAAGGAAAGCACTGTGAGGGGAGGTATTGTTCTGGTGGACTCTATGCGTGGAAGTGTGAATGGA